AATGCAACAAGATGGAAAGTTAAAATTCTTTTTTAATTATGAAGCATAGAACTTAAGAAAAAAGTTTAAACCTTTATTGAAACAAATGAAACTGGGAACACCACATGCCCTAATCTATGGAATACAGCAGAAGCAGTTCTAAGAGGGAAGTTTCTAGGAATAAACACCTATAACAAAAACATAGACTTCAAATAAACAATCTTCCTATGTATCTCAATGAACCAGAAAAACAAGAAAACACTAAACCCAAAATTAGTAGAAAGAAATAATAACAATTAGAGAAGAAATAAATAAAATTGAGACAAAAAGCAATATGGAAGATGACCAAAATATAGAATTGTTTTTTGAAAAGGTCAAACTGACAAATCTACAATTAGACTAAGAAAAAAGAAGACTCAAATAAATGAAATCAGAAATGAAAAAAAGCCATTACTATTGAAATCTCAAAAATACCCCAAATTCTTAAATATTATTTTGAACAACTATGCACCCAAAAATTTGAAAACCTAGAAGAAATGAGTAAGTTTTGGACCCATGTGGCCTACTGTGATTGAACAGTAAAGAAATAGAAAACTTGAATAGTTCAGTAATGAGTAACGAGATTGAATCCGTTAGAAAAAATTTTCAAACAAAGAAAACTCCAGAATGGTCTCACTGCATGATTCTAATAAACTCTTAACAAAGAAATAATAATTATTATAAAAGTATTTCTAAAAATTTCAAAAGAGGGAATTATTCCAAACTTACTAAATATGGGGCCAGTATGACCTTAACATCAATGCCAGACAAAACAACAACAAAGGAAAGCTACATGACAATATTTGTAATAAACATAGATGCAAACACCCTCAACAAAATGCTTGCAGCCCAAACCCAACAGCACATCAAAAAGATTATTCACTACGATCTATTGGATTTCTCTCAAGGATGGCATCCTTGGCTCACAGAAGCAAACTCCACTTTTCAGAAATTAAAATTTTAAAACTAGTATTATGATAGTTGCCTAGTATATGTTTCCTTGTTTATCATATAGAATTTCTGGATATATTTTATTTTAAAGTTTTCCTTTTTAAATTAAACCTTAAAAAATGTTTGAGCAAGCCGGGCTCAGTGGCTTAGCCTGTAATCCCGTGCCTTTGGGAGGCTGAGGTGAGTGGATTGCCTGAGCCCGCGGGTTCGAGACCCACCTGGGCAGCGAGACCTCATCTCTACAATTAATAAAAAAATCAACCGGGCATGGTAGCGCATGCCTGTAATTCCGGCTACTCAGAAGGCTGAGGCGGAAGGATCGCCGGAGCCCAGCAGGTTGAGGCTGCGGTGGCCAGGAGCGGCCACTGCACTCCAGTCTGGGTGATGGAGTGAGACTCCAATTTAAAAAAAAATAAAAAATAAAAAAAAGTTTGAGCAACTCTGCTTTTTAAAATTGTAAGTCAGTAATTGTTAAATACATTATTTTTGTTATACATTTGTACTTTGTTTTCACTTATTATATTTATCTTTCTTTTTCTATTTTTTAACATATATATTTTTTTCAGCTGGTTTAAGTATTATAGTTCTATTTTCATTTTAAATATATGTTTCATTAACAGAAAATTCATGTTATGTATTTGTTCTTACTAACAAAGTTTTACTTAATTGTATATTATTTCTAATAAGACAAGAACCACAGTTTATAGAACTGTGAGCTTATCTTCTTCACTAGCACTTAATGTCAAGATATATGGCATTTGGTTTTGGAACTTTATACATCTGTAATAATAATGATAATAAATACATGTATCTTCTTTTAAAATACATTTCACTTAATTCCCAATAGAACTCTAAAGTCGACCTGAATAGATGTCATATAACAAAATGGAGATTAAAACTTATAATCTTAAACAACTGTGAAATTAAAAAAAATGAACATAACAATTTAAAATACTGTCTCTGAGACATATATGAATTTAAAAGTTTTGCCAAGATCGTGAGTAGTGTACAACAAATAATAAATGCCAATTGCTATAAAAAGTTGAGAGAAAGCTGGGTTGAGTTGATGAGAGGCCTGCGATTAGACTTACCTGTTTATTAATACATATTTCTCTAGTCAATAGATGGAAGGCAAATGTAATACAATATTAATACTTATACATGCTGATTAGGGTTAATAATATATTTGTTACTCTAAACTTTCCTAAATTTTGAATATCTTAAAATGTTGTGAAACACTTGAGGAATGTAAGCATTCTTCAAGGTTATCTCTTTCTTTAAATATAGTTTTTAAAACAAAGGTCCCATTATCTCACTTTTCACTCATTCAGATGTTCAGCACCTTATTCTCTTTTCCCTTCATAAAATGTTTCCCTTTAGTGTGCCAGCTGTATCCTATCCCATTATCATCTTATCTCATCTTTCTACTTCTTCTTTGTTCTTTCATATGTTGCATTGTGTATTCTTCACCTAACTTCTTCGTATGGGTTCTTAATAATTAATATTCACATTAAAAATATTCTAATATATCAAATGACATAGTATTATCTCTTTTTAAAATGACATTTAAAGTGTAGTATTTTGCTTATTGTTTCATTCTTAGGTCTATTTCAACTTATTTTAGTTTTTGAGTTGTGTTGACGTATCTAAAAAGGGTCAACATTTTTGACATTTTGTGATCTCTCACCTAAAATTTGTCAGACTTTTGTGACTGTTTGAATCAATACTGTACACTCTGTAACTCTCAAGACCAGGATGTAAAAGATGGTGCTAACTTCTGCTTCACTCACTGGAATAGCCATTTGGAAATGCTTTTAGCAATCAAGTCAAGCAGTGTACCTACCCTTAGGACACCATGTTGTGAAGAGCTGAAACCACAGAGAGACACCATACAAAGATGCTTTGGCAGAATATTCCAGCTGATGTCCAAGGTGACAACCAATAATCAAGAACCTATGATGCTCTTTCTTTGGTGGAATTTAATTTGTATCTTTTCTACTGTAATAAATTGCAGCCATAAGTTAATGTTTTTTTTTTTAATTTTGTGAATGCTTCTAGGACATTAATAAACCTGATCCTGCTCTTAGTAACTGTTGAACTTCAGTTGATGTTAGAAGTGAGGATGACCTTGGGGATCTTCACATTATGTAGAAAGAGACAGTATGCCATGTAGAGAGATAGTTAAACTACCCAACTTTGTAGGAATCAGCCTGAAAAGTCAAAGTCAATTTGTTTGTTTATTCAAAGGAAAGAAATATTGGGAGAGAAAACTAAAGTGCTAAGAGGGTCAAGGCAAGAGTTGTCAGGAGTACCAGGCCATAGCACTGAGTTCTAAACAAAGAACGTGTGACCAGAACCAATGACTGCTTTGGGCCTTCTTATTTATTTTCACTACTTTTTTTTTTTTTGCCTGTAACTGTCACCTGTGTCTATCCTGTGAGAGGAAAGGTAACTTGTTCTTTAGTTCACAAGTCTTCAGGTGAAAAAAGATTGACACTCAGAGCTGACACAAAGAACTGTACCTGAGTTCTCTCATTTGTCCCTAGATCTTACTTATGAGATCTAGAACTCTAGCCTGATGAACCTGGCAGCTTAGTAAGTTGAGTTTTTGGAGGGAGGTAGGCCCGGAGTATATACATGAGTATAGTTTGCCTGTGAGTAGGATGTGTTCAGGGTGTGACCTGTGGCAGAGTGTGGTTTCTAAAAATTGCTGCAACTACCTCACCCATCCACAGCTTTTCTAGAAACTTACCTCTCCCCTTTTCAGAAGTGGAATCTATGTACCTTCCTGGATATCCAATGCAGAGAGGCCCCTGATGATTTGCGTTTGGTGGATATTGTGAACTAGATATAAACCTTTGTTGTGTTGTTACCTTGCTAAACCATTTGGGATTACTAATTTTTGCAGTGTAACCTACTAGATAATGGCTGATACTATTGACAATAAAAATTAATCATTCATATATATAACACTATTAAAAAATTAGACAACATTATTAACTCCCCAAAGACCTTAATGGATATATGGAGAAGACTGTGATAATAAGTAGGAAGATAAAATTTGTTTATTCCTTTAAACAATCTAGAAAAAGTGGCTTAAAACAAATAAGTGCTAGTATTTATTTTTAGTAAATTTTTGATCTGATAATAAGCATAATGTATCTATATTTTTTTCTTAACATAGAAGGGAAGCTGTGTAAAATGTTTCTAATCTTCTCAGATATGACCTACTAATCTTATCTTTTGACAGCAAACATTTCAGTCATATTCTTATGTTCCTCAAAAAACATATTTTTTTCATATTTAACTTTGAATGCATATATAACTGAATGTTTTCATTTCTTTTACAGCACTAACTGTGGCTTTTGAAATTCAATTAGCCAGGCTCGGTGGCTCAGCCTGTAATCCCGCGCCTTTGGGAGGCTGAGGTGAGTGGATTGCCTGAGCCCACGGGTTCGAGACCCGCCTGGGCAGCGAGACCTCATCTCTACAATAAATCAAAAAATCAGCCAGGCGTGGCAGCGCATGCCTGTAATTCCGGCTACAGGGAAGGCTGAGGCGGAAGGATCGCCGGAGCCCAGCAGGTGAGGCTGCGGTGGCCGGGAGCGGCCACTGCACTCCAGTCTGGGTGACCAAGTGAGACTCCAACTCAAAAAAAAAAAACTTAATTGACACTATTTTTATTTTAGATTTATTAACATTTGAAGAGTGAATAAATACAGAACTGAATTTTGACATAAATATTTCTAAGAATAACATTTAAGACTTTTTGAGAACAATTTTAAGTGAGAGTTTTTAACTTGAAAACATAATTAGGGCTTCTTCATAACAAGATCTTTTACTGAATGTCATATTCACATTATCAAAAAGTTCAGAAAGAAAAGATTTTGATATATAATATGCTGTAATGGTTTTATTTATTAAATATACATCAATTATAACTAGTAATCCCAATCAATTATTTTAATTTATTGTGAATATATGAATATAACTTAATAGCTTAGGATGAGCTTCAATAACTTCCTATACACTTACTGATATGACAATCTCTTTATGGTTTTCTTGATGGCAATTTTTATTTGCTCATTTCTAAGACTATAGATAATGGGGTTGAAGAGAGGGGGAATTATGGAATAGAAAACAGAAAGGATCATGTCCTGGGTGGTTGCAGATATTGCAGATGGCCTCAGGTACACGTAGAAACCTGAGCTGAGGAAGACTAACACCACCAGGATGTGGGGGACACAGGTGGAAAAGGCCTTCGTTCTGTCTGCTCCACTTGGAAGCCTGAACACAGTAGAAAAGATGTGGATGTAAGACCCGATGATAAAAACGAAACAGCCACCCCCAATTACCAGACCAGAGACGACAATCGTGATCTCATTGCTGAAGGTGTTAGAGCAAGACAGTTTCAACAGAGAGGGGATGTCACAAAAGAACTGATGAATAACATTAGACTGACAGAAGGGTAGCCGGAATGTGTTGCCAGTGTGCACACCTGCATAGACAAGACCACTGAATAGAGAGGCCAGTGTCATACAGATGCAGATTTGAGAGTTCATGATCACAGGGTAGTGGAGGGGCTGACAGACTGCCACAAAGCGGTCACGAGCCATGATGGTGAGAAATAGAAGCTCCACATAAAACAAGAAAACCACTAGGAAGACCTGAGCTACACAACCTGCCTTTGAAATGGTGTTGCTGTCAAGCAGGGAATTGACGCATGAGTTAGGTACCGTAACAGAAATATAGCAGGCATCCAAGATGGACAGATTTCTGAGGAAAAAGTACATGGGTGTGTGAAGGCTGCTGTCAAGGGTAGTGATAGTAGCAATGAGAATGTTTCCCTTTGTAGTTACCAAATACATGAAAGAAAAGAATATGGTGTGCAAAACACGTAGCTCCCACACATCAGAAAATTCCATGAGAAGAAATTCCTTCACTGTAGTTGAATTGGGCATCTGTGAGTGGCACAGCTTGTACCTGGGAAGTAAAGAGAGAAATCCTGAATTCATGAAGAGTCAAATTATGGAAGATAGTTCTTAAGTAATGTAGTCTCGATCTGTTCCTAATTCTGATTTATGTTTTTGATCCTAATATTGAAGACAAATTAATTGGTCCTCTGTGAATCTACATGATATTATTTGTATTCAAATTGAGCAGACATTTTGTTGTTGTTGTTTGTAAGCTGTTCAAATATTTAATTTTATGTAACTTTGTGTTCCCTATGGGACAGGTAAAGTTTCTTACACATACTTGATATTAAATAAATATTTTTAAAAGTTACAATGTTACTAAAATATTCTTTTTTTTTTTGAGTTGGAGTCTCACTCTGTTGCCCAGACTGGAGTGCAGTGGCCGCTCCTGGCCACCACAGCCTCGACCTGCTGGGCTCCGGCGATCCTTCCACCTCAGCCTTCCGAGTAACTGGAATTACAGGCGTGCGCTACCACGCCCGGCTAATTTTTTGATTTATTGTAGAGATGAGGTCACACCAAGTTGCCCAGGTGGGTCTCGAACCCGCAGCCTCAAGCAATCCACTCACCTCAGCCTCCCAAAGGTGCGGGATTATAGGCTGAGCCACTGAGCCTGGCTTAAAATATTCTTATCACTAATCTTTTTATCAACACAGTAGCTTACAGTGCAGAGGAGGATATTGTTTACTCTCTTACCAAGATATAGTCTTTATATATTTAACAAATGAACCAACAAATCTTTTGTACCAGACAGTTTTTTGAGATTCTTTGATAGAGGAGAAAACATAATAATTTGTAGAGGTTAAAGTCTAGCTTTTATTTCTAGTTATCTAGTGCAAAATACCAGATTCCCTCATTGTGTGAATGGGCATTGTAATTATAGGTTTAGTCTCTGTTTCTTTGCTGAACTAGAGAAAATGTTCTCTCACTCATAGTGCCTGGTTAGAATAAGTGAGATGCATATAAAACCCTTAGAAAAGTTCCCAGGATATCATAAATGTTCCTTAAATGTCCCTAGTTATCATTTTCAGAAACATCACTATTGTTATTTCTGTATACTCACTATTTTTAGAGCATACACTACTGTCAGAAATTTTCCAGATAAATTTCACACATCAATTCAAAATCTCTCCACGATCTTGAAATTTAGAGGTGTATTCTTGTTTTACAAAGAACAAAGAGCTCGTCCAAGTTTAACTATTGCTCCTGTACCAGAACAATCTGCCAATTACCACACACCTGCCACATTTAATAGACAACCTAGAGCCTGTGTCCAACTGCATAGTTCTGTGAGTTTTCAGAAGAATGTCCTCATATTTTATGATTGCAAGCTAGTTATAAGTTTCTGTTATATATTTATATTTATAATCTAATTAAGATTTTATCATCTGTTTAATGGATTATTATATGAGATACATAAGCCATGTGTTCAAAATATTTATAAACAGGACAAATTCTCCCATGCAAGGCTTACCAGATCCTTTACTGTAGGAAAGGGAGACAGGAGGTTTGGGACTCCTCACTTACCAGTCATGTAAAGTTGGTAACATTCCTCACCCAAGATTCATTCCCTCATCTGTAAAAACAGGATGATAATGCATACTATTGTGATTAGTTTAAACAATATGGGTTCATTCACTGACTTATTTCTTGATTCATCATAGAAGTTTTGTGAGTAACAAATGAAAGAAAATAAAACCCCAAATCTCATGAAATTTAGATTTTGCTAGAAGAGATGGACACTGAACAGTTAAACATTTAAGGAAGAATAAAATATTTCATATAAGTTTAAGTGCTTTGACAAATACTTAAAGGAATAACATTATAGGTGAGAAAGGATGTGTGTGACCTAAGGACAGGAATTGATCAATTAAGTGAAAGTACTCAATTGAGTAAACTGCTATGGAAATAGAACAGTGTCTCATCCCAAACTAATGTTTTCTCTTTATTTTATCTAAAGAGAAGCCCATCATATATCTGTTGAATTGATTTTACAAATTAGATTATACCCAGCATTTCCAAATGAAATTATAATTTGATATTCTGTTATTCTGATTTTGCTTCCCCACATAATGGTTTAAGTGAAAGACTGAATACTGAAGCTGGAAAAAAAATAAAAATAATCATTAATGTAATAATCTAATCCTGAGAGGGGAATTAAGATCATGAAAATAAATATTTTTAAAAAATATTGATTGTTTTTTCAGGCTAAGTTTTCATTACTTAAAAGATTTTTCTCATTGCTAGTAAAAGTCTGAATTGACTTATCTGAAGATTTATGTATCTATATCTATCTAATGATCTAAAGATAATTAAAAGAGAAATCTCCTTTGTTATATCATTTAGTATGCCTTAACCTTTTGAATTTTGAGAGTGCTTTAAATTTCAATTGGGACACTTTCTAGTGAAGTCATAACTTGTTTTATTCAAATATTACATTATCATTGTCCTGCTTATATATATATATCTGCATTTAAGGACTATAACCTTATACTCACTCCTTTGGTTTAGGAGCTAAAAAGTCATTATTGCTGGAAATGTTGTTATGATTGGTCCCAATTAAAAAATTAGATATAGACCCAGCTGGGCTCGGTGGCTCAGCCTGTAATCCCGCGCCTTTGGGAGGCTGAAGTGAGTGGATTGCCTGAGCCCGCGGGTTCGAGACCCTCCTGGGCAGGCGAGACCTCATCTCTACAATAAATCAAAAAATTAGCCGGGCGTGGTAGCGTGGGCCTGTAATCCCAGTTACTCGGAAGGCTGAGGCGGAAGGATCACTGGAGCCCAGCGGGTTGAGGCTGCGGTGGCCGGGAGCGGCCACTGCACTCCAGTCTGGGCGATGGAGTGAGACTCCAACTCAAAAAAAAAAAAAAAAATTAGATATAGACTGACCATATACAGTATATACAGCTCATTATTATAGAAGAAAGTCTAGAGAGTATAGAATTCAATCACATTTTATTAATATTGTGTTGTAGTTTGCACATATACAAACATTTAAGTCTCTATTTTGAGTAAATTATGTTTTAATTCCATATATATATAATACCTATACACCAGATTTAAGCAAACTGGCTTTTTACTCCTGAAGAGCAAAATTTCTAGATAATTACCCAAATCATAGAAACAAATGAGTTTGCATGTCTGTTTTCTGAATTAGTCATTCACCATCCATAAACAGTCTGCTTTTTCATAATGTATTTAAACAAATACATCATTAGTTTTGTCAAAATAGATCACTTAATCTTGTAAGTACTGCCTATATTTCCATTCTTTTATATTTAAATGTTTTAAAGCTTCTGTAAACAGAATTCTGGTGGCATAACTTCAAATCTCTATGAAAATATTAAAACTGGTCAAAAGTTACACGTAATCTCAATATGAAGTCATTAAACTTCTACAACTACTTTTTTACACTAATTACTTTTTGACTTATGAAAAACACTGATTTAAACTTGACTTCTTGGTAAAGAAGTCAATTTATTCAAAAGGATATAACAATTGTAGATATTTACGCTCCCAACATTGGAGTACCTAAATATATAAAACAAATATTAAAAGACATGCAGGGAGAGATAGATAGTAATACAATAACAGTAGAAGACTTAAACTTAATTTTCTATGTGGCGAATTAACTACTTCTTAGAGTAGAAAATTTTGAATTTAAAGATATGATTTACCCTTGCCCAAATCACTTACTAGCTCTATAAATTGTTCTGTTGCCTTAATAAAACATGGTAGTAATACATGTTTTAAAAATGTATTGCATATAAAAGCTTCCAAAACTATTGGACACTTCAAATGTTAGATGTCTTAATGGAAACTCTTCAACGTATTGATTATGCAATATGGTAGGTATACCCTTAGAAATTATAATTCTTACCTAAAATTAACAAAATAATCGAATTTTATATTTAAAAAGCAACTTGAGTACCCCAGGTAAACAAATTTGTCCCTCTAGATAATTTAATCTTTCTCTTTTAAAAAAACCAAAAAAAGCCCCAAAGTTTTAATTTTGATTGTTTCTCTCAAGTGGAATTATTAAATGTATATTCTCAACAGTGTCACTAACTAAACTTCATTGTCTTTATAGAAAATGTAACAACATTGAAGATAAATTTTTCTACCTTGTAGGATTTAAGAAAATGTACTGATTGAAATTTTAAATTACTCATGAACTTGCATACGCATTCATATATTTACTTATTCATTCAGTCATTCACGAAATTAAGATTGAGTCTCTAATATTTCTCAGTTCATGATCAGGTGCAAAGTATTAAATAGTGAATGAAAGATTACAAACTAGTTTTTAACATGATATTTACATCATGGAGATATGCACACCATGTGGTACATCTTTAAATTGTTTAGAATAGTTATAATACTCTATATGATTTTTATTATATTTATGTTTCTTCATCTTACTCTTAAATTATAATTTTCCTTTTCAGTGTCAGTCTTAGACACCTAACTCTTCTTAGATACACTCCCCTGATTACTCCATTGCTTAGAAATTACATGGAGTCAATAAGTGATTGCTGTGTTTTGAAAATTCCAATTGATAGTTGCCACAAAGAAAACTATTTTGTTTTGGATACCTAAACCCACCTGAAGTCCCACAGTTTCTGAAGTAACATGAATGAGGGTAACACTTGGCTCAAGGTTTCAATGTTTTGTTCCAGCTTATGACCACAAACTTACTTTTATTGCTGTTGTTGTTTTGTTTTTTCATTGAATTGACCATTCAGTTTTTTTGTTTGTTTGCTTGTTTTTGAGTTGGAGTCTCACTCTATTGCCCAGACTGGAGTGCAGTGGCATGCTCTCGGTCACCGCAGCCTCGACTTGCTGGGATCCGGTGATCCTTCCGCCTCAGTCTTCCAAGTAGAAGGAACTACAGGTGTGCGCTACCACGCCCGGCTAATTTTTTTGATTGATTGTAGAGACGAGGTCTTGCCAAGTTGCCCGGGCGGGTCTCGAACCCGTGGGCT